CACCAACAGTGACCAAGCTGATAATCAAATCAAGAACTCAACCACTTTTATTTATAATAGCTGCAAAAACAAAACAAAATAAAATAAAATACTTAGGAATATACCTAACCAAGGAGGTGAAAGATCTGTATAAGAAAAACTATAAAACACTGCTGAAAGAAATCATAGATGACAAAAACAAATGGAAACACATCCCATACTCATGGATGGGTCAAAACAACATTGTGAAAAGGGCCATACTGCCAAAAACAATCTATAATTTAAATGTACTTCGCATCAAAATACCATCATCATTCTTAACAGAACTAGAAAAAACAATCCTGAAATTCACATGGAACCAAAAAAGAGCCCACATAACCAAACCAAGACTAGGTGAAAAGACATCACATTACCCAATTTCAAACTATACTACAAGGCCACAGTCACCAAAACAGCATGGTCCTGGTATAAAAATAGGCCCACAGACCAATGGAACAGAACAGAGAACCCAGACATAAACCCAAATACTTACAGCCAACTGATATTTGACAAAGCAAGCGAAAACATAAAGTGGGGAAAAGACACCCTATTCAACAAATGGTGCTGGGATAACTGGCAAACCCCATGTAGGAGAATGAAATTGGATCCTCATCTCTCACCTTATACAAAAATCAACTCAAGATGGATCAAAGACTTAAATCTAGGCCTGAAACTATATAAATCTAAGACCTGAAACTACAAAATTCTGGAAGATAACATCAGAAAAACCCTTCTAGATATTGGCTTAGGCAAAAATTTCATGACCAAGAACCCAAAAATAAATTCAATAAAAATAAAGATAAATAACTGAGACTTAATTAAACTAAAGAGCTTTTGCATGGCAAAAGGAATAGTCAGCAGAGTAAACAGACAACCCACAGAGTGGGAGAAAATCTTCACAATCTATACATCTGACAAAAGACTAATATCTAAAACCTACAATGAACTCAAATTAGCAAGAAAAAAAACAAACAATCCCATCAAAAAGTGGGCTAAGGACATGAATAGACAATTCTCAAAATATATACAAATGGCCAAGAAACACAAAAAAAATGCTCAACATCACATCAGGGAAATGCAAATCAAAACCACAATGTGATACCACGTTACTCCTGCAAGCACAGCCATAATCAAAAAATAGTAACAGACGTTGGCATGGATGCGGTGAAAAGGGAACACTTCTACACTGTCGGTGGGAATGTAAACTAGTACAACCACTATGGAAAACAGTGTGGAGATTCCTTAAAGAACTAATAGTAGAGCTACCATTTGATCCAGCAATCCCACTACTAGGCATCTACTCAGAGGAAAAGAAGTCATTATATGGAAAAGATACTTGCACATGCATGTTTATAGCAACACAATGTCCATCAATCAATGAGTAAAAAAACTGTGATACACATATATATATATATGATAGAATACTACTCAGCCATAAAAAGGAATAAATTAATGACATTCACAGCAACATGGATGGAATAGAAGACTTAACTTTAAGTGAAGTAACTCAGCAATAGAAAACCAAACATCATATGTTCTCACTCATAAGTGGGAGCTAAGCTATGAGGATGCAAAGGCATAAGAACGAATCAGTGGACTTTGGAGATTCAGTGTGAAAGGGTGGGAAGGGGCTGAGTGATAAAAGACTACAAATTGGATTCAGTGTACACTGCTCAGGAATGGGTGCACCAAAATCTCACAAATCACCACTCAAGAACTTACTCATGTAACCAAACACCACCTGTTTCCAAAAAAATCTATGGAAATAAAAAATTTTGAAAAACCATTTAAAAATCCTTAAAGATGAGCAATTTTAAAACATTTTAAAATGTTTAAAGATTTAAATTTCCTATACAGAGACAATTTTGCCAGTCTACTGCCAAGAGGACATGTACTTAAAATCTTTTCCAGGAGTGCTCTGTAGGCTATGCTGATCCAGCTACATTCACTAAACTATGTTCCATTTTGGCCAACAGCAAGCATTTGGGGATAACTGTTCAGGGACCATGATGCTAGCCATGGCCAGAGAAAAAGGAAAATCATGGTACATGACCTTCCTTAATACCTAGATCAGACTAAGTAAACTAACCAACTTCAGACAAATACGTATTTTAAAGCAATCTCTCTGAAGAGAGTAGCATACAAATCCTGCAGATTTTGTTTTGCCAAACACAAATTCTTAGAAAACTAACTTCCACTGGCTTCAAACACAGCTTCCACTGAAAAAAGTCACCATGAAATATTCAGCAAGGAACACAAAGTAGATACAGGAATGCTGTTTTTTTTCCCCTTACTATTCTGGACACTAGACAAAAGTTTACTAGAGAGGTAATTGTATGGGAGAAAAAAAAAAAGGACAGGAAGCTTGGAAACAGGCAAAAAGCTGGAAAATAAATCTTATGGGTAAAAGCTACCAAAGTGGAAAAAACATTTTCTGATACAGAGAGATTATATTAGATAACTAATTCACCAATGCCTTTCTCCAATAAATAAAGAGGGATGTATATTTAAAAGATGGGCTGCAGATTGGATAATATAGGCAGAAGAGTTGACAGCAAGAGTGACTGGTCTGTAAACACAGCATGTACTTCAAAGCCAACATCCCATTTCCTTCTCAAAGCGTTGCCCTGATTTCTCCAGCCAAGAACTCTAAAAAAAGGTATTTTCAGAATCCTATAGTTTAGAATTAAATTGCTCCATAAATGCTCATATTTTAGTTCTCTTTTAAACCTGCTATTAACTGTAAGGACAAATATAAGCATCACTCTCTGCCCTAAAAAATTACCTAACACAGTGGAGAGCATAGATTAGGTTCTCAAATATAAGTTAAGGTGACTAAATTATTTATTGTTTAAACTCGGACACTTTTAAGTGTCCATATAGAGCCCAATTACCCAGAAAAAGGCTGGGCCAAAGATGTTCAGAATACTGTCTAATCCCAAATAAAGCCACCATTCTTTACCAGATAAGCATAAAGCATATTCCTTTCCTTCAACATGAGAGCTGTTGCCATTTACTGAGCAGAGCACTGACTGACCTTATAAACATCTCACAAAAGCTTCACAAGGTTGCTATTAAAAAGCTATAAATAAGGAAATTAAATCTTAGAAGGGTTAAATAGTTTGCCCAAGGTTACAAGTAAGGAATTGGTGGAACTTAGCTTTGAATTAAAAGTCATGAGACGGTGAAAACCTGTCTCTACTAAAAATACAAAAAGTAGCTGAGCCTGGTGGTGGGCGCCTGTAGTCCCGACTACTCGAGAGGATGAGGCAGGAGAATCACTTGAACCCTGGAGGTGAAGGTTGCAGTGAGCCCAGATTGCGCCACTGCACTCCACTGCGACAGAGCAAGACTCCATCTCAAAAAAAAAAAAAAAAAAAGGCGGGGAACGGTGGCTCATACTTTAATCCCAGCACTTTGGGAGGCCGAGACGGGCGGATCACGAGGTCAGGAGATCGAGACCATCCTGGCAAACATGGTGAAACCCCGTCTCTACTAAAAATACAAAAAATTAGCCGGGCGTGGTGGTGGGCGCCTGTAGTCCCAGCTTCTCGGGAGGCTGAGGCAGGAGAATGGCGTAAACCCGGGAGGCGGAGCTTGCAGTCAGCCGAGATCGTGCCACTGCATTCCAGCCTGGGCGACAGAGCGAGACTCTGTCTCAAAAAAAAAAAAAAAGGTCATGAGATACTAACACATAAATATAAAAATCTACAAAGCAAAAAGTAACACACAAACTTGCCTTAATTCAGTCAGGTTTTAATACTCATAAATTCAATTTAGATTCAAAAGATGAAGACTGTTCTACACAAGGAAATGAAGGAAATGAGTAATGAATAAAGATTGAGCTACCTAAAAGCACAGACTGCAATTCTAAAGAGGGAGAGCACACCGCGACCAGATCACTAAATTCTGTTGTTCTGAAGTTTGTCACAGGGAACTTTTAGGATAGAAAAACTACACTATAAATACACATCCATTGTGAAATTAGAAGATGAAAAAGAGAAGCAAAAAGCAGATCATAAACAAGATCATGCCATTCTTACTATAAGAGGAACATCACAATTTCAAAAGCAGACAGGTTTTCTGCGGTTTGTTTCTTTAACCATAACTAAGTTGCACTTAAAACTCCAAGAACCTCATTCATTCAAAAACACTTGAAACCGTACTATGCGTTGGGTGATGAAGAAACTGTCTTCAAAATAGACTTTATCCCCAACAGCAGCCCCAGTATGGTTATTCTCAGTAAACAACAAGCACCACCACTCACTAACCACCTACATTCGGTGCCACCTTAATGGCCCTCTGCTTATTTAATCTCGTATTACAACCACCCCAAAGTGATGATTTTACAGTTATCAGTAACAGTTATCAGTAAGCAAGCCAGGAAGGTTAAGTGACCTAGACAAGGCCACACAGCGGGTTCAGTGGCAGAGCTGGGACTGAACACAAGTCGGCCTTTAGCACTCTCCACGACCCTAGGCCAATCCCGCACTACAGGGGTCGCCTATAGGTGCTGGGACCTAGAGGAATCCTAGAGAAGGAATTACTTCCTGAGGATTCCTGGAATATGCCTCACTTATGAAGCCCCCAGGGCTTCCCACAATCTGATATATAACATGAGGGGCGCTTAAAAGCCAGCCCAGTGATTAAGAGGTCACGATTTCTGAAAGAAACGCAACCATATCCAGGAACGGCCCGGTCAGGACTTGGTTCTGGACAAGCCCACCTCACGCTAACATCTGCCCTGATGTCCCAGCGACCACACCCTTCCTAAGAGCGAGTCTCGCCGCCCTTTTCCCAGGCCAGGTAGTCAGCCTGAGGGAGGTGGGGGGTTTAACGCGGAGGGGGCTGGGTGGGCGCGAGGGCCTTTTATTTCCGGGACCCACCACGGCCCTCACCTCCACACCTCCAGGGGCGCCCACGGTAAACGCCCACCAGCAGCTTTGCTCCCCACAAAGTCGTCCCCAACCCAAAAGGCGTACCTACGCCCCCGCCGCTGCGTCCGCACGTCGTCGTGACGTCAGCCCGCCGTCGCCGCGCTATAAAAAGGGTCAGAGGCACCACGGCTGCTGCAGTGCAAACTCTGGCAATCCTTCTGTGCTCTTGGTCGGCTAGGAGGGAGCGGGACGCATGAGGCACTACAGTGGGTAGAGTAGGAAGGAAGGCAAGGGACGCGAGGTGGGAAGCAGGCGAATTCCTAGACCTGCTTGCCGCGGAAGAATGCCCTCTCAAGTGGAACAAAAGCTCAGCTAGTAACCGGCTAGCGGCTTCTCTGGCAACGGCGTCTCCGCCCCTCCCGTCAGGCCGCAGCAGGCTGCGGATTGGTCCGGGTTAGGGACGGCGGGCAGCGCCTGTAGCTATTGGCGAGGGTGAGGTACGGGGCAGGGAGGGGAGCTTCGTCTATCCTTGTGTCTCGGGTAAGCTTTTTTTTTTTTAAGCGTTTGTTTCTGGAAAAGGACTGCACTTGTGTACATTACCGAAAGTCATAACTGAGCCCAACTAGAAAAAAAGGAAATAAAGCCAATTCCGAGTTTTCTGGCGCTTGCCCTGTATGTGTTCTGCTTTCGCGCTTTTTTTTTTTTTTTTTTTTTTTTTTTGAGACGGAGTCTCGCTCTGTCGCCCAGGCTGGAGTGCAGTGGCGCGATCTCGGCTGACTGCAAGCTCCGGCCCCCGAGTTCACGCCGTTCTCCTGCCTCAGCCTCCGGTGTAGCTGGGACTACAGGCGCCCGCCACCATGCCCGGCTAATATTTTATTTTATTTTTTGTAGTTTTAGTAGAGACGGGGTTTCACCGTGGTAGCCAGGATGGTGTCGATTTCCTGACCTCGTGGTCCGCCCATCTCGGTGTCCCAAAGTGCTGGGATTACAGGCGTGAGCCACCGCGCCCGGCCTGCTTTCCCTTTTTAAAGGAAAGATCTGAAAACGTGAAGGCAACTGCGACCGGAAGAAACCACCTTTTAAATGTATAGTGGTATTTTTAGCTGAGATGCCTCCCTAGGCCTCAGGTTTTTTCCTGTTAAATGAGGGAGCGTGATGATGTTCTCCAAGGTGACTTCAAGGTCTCAAAGTCTTTTGTATCTGCGCTACAGCCAGCTGGTCTGGTTTTTAAAGTCCTGAAGAAGCAAAGCAAGATTTAATTCGGAAAAAATCTTCATTCAACGCCTCTACTTAATATTCATCTTAAGAATCGTACACCAACATAGGAAGTTCACAGGTAGAGCAACTGTCAACTGAGCCGTAACCGTGGCATACTGCTACCTAATAATTGGTTTCACTAAAGCACTCCAGCAATGCTTTTTCCCCACTACTGTAATTGTCCCTTTTAATAATTTAAAGCGAGAGACAGAATTAATACATTTTCAGTAAAGGGCCAGTAATATGGTTAGGCTTTGAGTCCCCAGCCACATCCCATCTTCAATTGTAATCCCCATAATCCTCATGTGTCAAGAGAGAGACCAGGTGAAGGTAATTGAATCATGGGGGCAGTTTACCCCATGCTGTTCTCGTGCCAGGGAGTTCTCAAGTGATCGGATGGTTTTGTAAGGGGCTCTTCCCCCTCCACCGGGTACTTTCTTACTGCTGACTTACTAAGAAGGTGCCCTGCTTCCCCTTCACCTTCCACCATGATTGTAAGTTTCCTGAGGCCTCCCCAGCGACGTTGAACTGTGAGTCTTATTAAACCCCTTTCCTTTATAAAGTATCCAGTCTCGGGCAATTCTTTATAGCAGTATGAAAATGGGCTAATACAGCCAGATAGTAAGTATTTTATTAATGGATTTCGCAAGTCATATGGTCTCTGTGATAGTATTTATCTCTGCCATTGTTGTACCAAGAAAAGCCATAGATGATACATAAATGTAAACATATGAGCTCACTAAAGTACATTTGTGTGTAGGATGCAACACTACAGTGTTGGGTAGAAATTGTGATTTCTACCTTCATGGCAACAAATAGGGACTAGAATGTGAAAATAGCGAACAATGAAATAGAATAAAGATACTTGAATACAAATAATACTTCAAAATTAAAAAGCAGTATTTTAGATAACCTTCTGTTTGCAGAGGACAAACAGAAGGTTACATGAAAGTGTGATGGAGAATCACCACCTTTACATCTTTGCACTCTTTAGTAGTGCCACTAATCACTGGAATTCCCCTAGGACTATGGTATTGCCTTTGGTTTAATCTTTTAGTAGATAGGGGCAGTTCAAAAGGCTTCCACTTTGTCTTCCCATTATAATAGCCATGAGTCAAAAAGCCAATGTCAAGATGCTGTAAATCTCCTTTAAGGTTATGACATTCAGGTCTCTTCATTAGTTCTGGTAAATTTTTTGCTGTACAAATTAAGTAGAATCTTAGTAGACTATCCATTTCAATTATAGGGACACTGATTAATTATCAACTCCTAAAGATCCCCGCTTAGTCAAACAACATGATACGTCCTGCTGGTATCATGGTAACAACAGGTATCTCATCTCTGATGGCTCAGTAGTATCACCTGGCCTCTATCACTTTGGGATCTTACTATTTCCATTAGAAAATTAGGGGTTTCATGCAATGGCAACATCTTCGTCCCCAGGCTTATAGAATAGCAGCTACAGAGCTTTTAAAGGATTCTGGCATTCCCTATATTTTCCTCAATGCTTTAGTAAAAAGAAGGCCCTTTGACCCTCTCAGAACACCTTTGAAAGGAGATGACTGGTTCACACATGATAAATCTATTCCTACAGTACTATTCCCTAAGTCTTCCTTAAAAATTGATACATACTAGATGTACATATTTTCAGGGTACATGTGATAATTGGATACATTTATATGAATGTGTAATGTGTAAAGATCAAATCAGGATAGTCAGGATATCCATCACCTTAAATATTTATCTTTATGCTATGAACATTCAAATTGTTCTCTTCTAGTTATTTTGAAATATACAATAGATTATTGTTAACTATAGTCACCCTACTTATCTGTCAAACACTGAGTCTTATTTCTTCTATCTAACTGTATGTCTGCACTCATTAATCAACCTCTCTTCATTACCCCCTTCCCTAAGTCTTTTAATTCATTCCTCTAAAATCAAGACATTTCTAACATCTCAACTGTATTTAGTTTCAACCAACCAACTGAGCAAACCTTGGCAGCCACTCCCAGATGTTCAAAGCAAGCACAGTGAATTATGGTCTCTGGTAAATATATTCATATTAATATCTTGGACACATCAAAATATTCCGTCATCCCTGGTCTGCCACACTTGGAATTCATTATTTTCCATAGGCTTCTGCCAATATAAATAAGCAAAATCTTGCACTTTTTTGGTATGAAAGCCTTCTCCCAGGTCAGATCTTATTTCTTCTATCTAACTGTATGTCTGCACTCATTAATCAACCTCTCTTCATTACCCCCTTCCCTAAATTCTTTTAATTCAGTCCTCTAAAATCAAGAGATTTTAGAAACTGTTTAAGAACAGCCTACTATATAGTAGTATTTCATTGTGTAAATATACCACAATTTGCTTATTAGCGCTCCTGTTGATAGATATTTAGGTTGTTTGCAGCTTTTAGTTATTATGAATAAGGCTGCTATAAGCATTCTTTAAAAGGCATTTTATTAACATATGCTTTCATTTTTCTTAGCTAGGAGTATGTTTAACTTTACCAGCAGTATGTGATGCTTCCTGTTGCTTCACATCCTTGCCAACATTTAGTAAAGCAGTATTTTTTATTTTAACTGTTCTAGGGGATGTGAGGTGGCAGCTCACGTGGATTTCAATTTGTGTTTTTTTGGTAATGAATCACGTTCAGTACCTTTCAGTTATTGACCATTTGTACATGATTTATGAAGTGTTGTTCAAGTCTTTTACCCATTTTTGTATTGGATTGTTGTTTTATTGTTGATTTTCAGGAGTTGTTTACATATTCTGAAAAACGATTTGTCAGATATATGTAACTAATATTTTCCTCCTATTTCTTATCTATCTATTTTCTTAATGGTATCTTTTGAAGAGAAGAAAATTTTTATTTGAGACATCTAACTTACCAGTATTTTTCTTTTATAGTTTAATGTACCACAACTCCACATTTGTGAAGTTGCCATGTTTTCTTTTAGAAGTTTTATTATTTGAAGCTTTCATAAGTAAGTATATGATGTATCTTGAATTAAGTTTTTTAGGAATGATATAAGGAGTCAAGATTCCCTTTGTTTTATACAGATACCCAATGTGGTACCACCGTTTATTTAAAAGACTTTCTCTTCCCCATTGAATTGATTTAGTGCTTTTGTTGAAAATGATTAGACCATATGTGTGTGTGTGTTTATTTCTGGACAATCCATTCTAATAATTTATAATCGAAACATTTGCCTACATCACATTCTCTTGATTACTGTAGTTTTATATAAGTCTTAAAATTGGGTAGACTCCATTTACTACAAAGATGGTTGTCCACAGGGTAAGTCAGACAAGAATTGAGCAAAGTCTTGGGGGAACAGAACAACATTGCTTTTACAAGATAGAGTATCAGCGCATATCTTAGTTTGGAGTGCTATAACAAAAATATAGACTGGGTGGCTTAAACAACATAAATTTGAGAAGTCCAAGATCAAGGTGCCAGCCATTTGGTTCCTGGTGAGGGCCCTCTTCTTGATTTGCAGAAGGATGCCTTCTTGTTTTACTCCCACATGGTGGAGAGAGAAGGGAAGCAAGCTCTTTCATGTTTCTTCCTTTTATGAATAATAAGATCTTTGCTTTGTATAGAATTATAAATTACAAACTATTATTTTGCTTAATCCTTTTAACCAACATGAGGTGGGCAGGTTGGAGGATATTAGTTCCCATTTTACAGGCAGAGTGAAAACACTGTAGCCATTTTTAGTATAAAAGCTGGGATATAAGACCTGGGATTCCATATTCACCACTGCTTTTTTCCATGACTTTGTGATACATCATTTAAAAGTAATCTGATTTCACAGTGTTTTACAGTGTAAGAATAACATCTATAGTATCTATTCCTGGCAAGTTAACTCTGGAGCCAACCAACCTAATTGATGGCCTCATAAGATGGCACGTTTTAAGGCATTCTTATACCTCTAACTCAATTTCCAGCTATATTTGAGGGCCCCATAAGCCAACATGTAGAATGTTGTTCTGAAAGGATCAGGAAATACAATGGTCAAGCATGTTTTAAAGTTTAACCTAGGTCTGGCACATCTTCGTCAGTTGCTCAGATGGCAAGCTGTAGGATTGAAGGGAGTAGTGCGAGGATCCACTTGAGGGTGGACACTGATGAAAAACACAAGCAGTATCAGAGCCACTGTTTTCAGGAAATCCCTAGAAGCCTTGTTGCTAGTTTCCTACATTATTACCAGCAGGACAAAGGGCAATACTTTTGGAGACTAGAATTTCAAAGAAAAGATTTATTAGGCTGCCTGCCTGGGGCCTAA